TCAGCTGTAAACCATTTGCACCACCAAGGGACATTGTCTTATAGCTTTTGAGACAAAATGGTCAGCTCACTGGGTACAGGACGTATCATCTGAAATGGTCAGTGTTCCAGAGGAAGTGAGATGCGTCAAAGGAATATTGTATTAGAGTAGACAGACTGAGGGCTCTGGATTAATAGAGGGTGGGCCACTCAATATATCAGGTACAGTGCTGGGTGTTAGATACTGCAGGAGAAATACACTACAGCCCCTGCTCTGAGGTAACACTACATAAGCAGTGGCATTCCGTGTGAAAACATGTCAGTAGTGGCAGACTTCAAAAGCCTGATATGTGAGCCGTTTCATTTATGTATCTTTACATTTATCATATAGATAGAAACATGAAGGAATGGATTGGTGCAAAGGGAAGCTGTAGCGAGGTCATTTCACAAAGCTGCCATTGCTTGACCGTGGCAGGGCACACAGCTCCCGTTTTCAGTGGGTAGAGTCAGGGACGGGAAACACCCTAACGGTGGGAGAGCCCCAACAGAAGTGCTGTCCTGTCTGGAACACAGTGCTAGTGGTTTCTCCATTGAATGGCACTGGTACAAGAACCTGTGCCAGAGGCTGTAAGTACTTTATTTAGTTTCCAAGATGACCCCGTGGAGGTAGACGAGTCCCATTTGTAATATGGCAATTGTAAGGTCTGCCTGTTAGGGCACTGGCTACACACCAAGTGGGATAAAGCTGGCATTTGAAGATAGATCTGATACGCTAGCCCATATCCTGCATCCTTTTGTACACGAATACGGAATCTTAGGAAACCATTACAATTCCACAGCTCATGTAAAAATATTTCTGTTCATAAAATAATATTTTTGGTATGCACACAAGTTCAAAATGCCTAAAACAGAAAAGAGAACATTTTAGATAGTGAATTTTCTGAGTTACACGTTAGATTTTTTAAAGTTATTTACTGTACGCATGCAATAAAATCATTTATAAACTATAAAAGCATTAAAGAAACAATGTAAACACATGTCTAAAGATAGTAAAAATACCTAGGATCCGTACGAGAGGGTTCTAAAAGTTTATTTTAAAATTCCATTATCTTTTCATCTCATTTTCCCACAGACTTTGGAAGCCCCTTCATATTACAACTTAATGTTCTTTCGGGGAGAATGTAAGCTCTTCTGTTGGCTCTGCTGGGATAATCCTCTGACATGGACTTAGTGACTGATAGCTGTAGGAACAAAGGAGCCTCTGTGAGGGTCAGGTCCCTTCCTCATTCCAAGGCGATATTAGAGAAGGTAGAATACGGCTTCTGCCTTGCTTTTTCCCTCTGTGAGATGAAAACACAGCCATCCTTCCTGATCTTCTTTGCAAAGCAAGTTAACTCCCGCATTTGAAACCATGACAAAGCAAAATTGAGGGTAAAGTTAGAAGAGTAGTCATTGCTGAAAAAACATCAATCCTATGGCTTTTTAAGCAATGATTTTGGAAGTTGCCTCTTCCACAACAATTGATAGTTGATTGTTTCTTTACATCTGAGGGGTTGTGTTCACACAGGTGTTAACACTAGAGAGCTTTGAAAACACCGAGGGGCTGGAGGCAGTGCTGATGGGATTCATTATCTGTCAATAGGGTGCTGATTCTTTCTTTCCCTAATGTCAAAAAGTAGAATCAACACTGACTTACTCATCTGACAAATATTTATTCATTTCTGAGCAAGTAGCTGTTTTCATGGATACTACATCACTGCACATGAGAAACAAATATAAGCTCATTGCAAACCAGGAGAGTGTACATATCCTCTTCCTGTATAGTCATACACCCTCAAGGACCAATGGTGTAAACACCCAGCTTTGTGCTATAAACAATACTATTCCAAAACTCAACATGTCTGATCAAATAGACCAGTGCCTGAAAGGTCAACGTGTTGCTTCCTGGAAAAATAAGATTGCTTTAGACTCTGTTCAGTGTCTCCAGGTTATCTTATTACGACCAAATCCAAAACAGCCCACAGACAGGCTATTACCAAATATAGAGTTCGCAGTTAGAAACCAGAAACAGGAACCGGGAGATGCAAGCCTCCTGGAAGCCCCAGCGGACCTGCCTTATGAGTGTTACATCGGAAAGATATTTCCTGCTCTCTGAACTGAAACAAAGCCAAAAGAATGATTTCAATGTCTGAGACCACCTTCAAAACTTTGCCAACTGATCAGCTGTGCGCCATTGGAGGAAAATGAAAGGCAGCTGAGCGTGTTGGCTGGAGCTGACCGCTGATTTGTGTTTGGGTTTAAGAGAGGAGAGAGACCGTGGTGGCGCAGCGGGCTGTGCCTGGGACTGTGTTATGGGAGAGAGATGGGCTGTCTGCTTCCTAAACATTTACAAGACTTCAAAACAAAGGGGCAGTTCTTTTTTTTTAAATCATTTTATTGGGGACTC